AACCAAGTGGCTGAAGAAGCAGCCAAGCAGTCAGGCAGCGAAGACAGGGCTCCAGGTGAAAAAAGACAGGACCGCCAACAGAAACATCAACAACCAGAACCAATCACTGTCAACGGGAGAGATTTGACAGAGGTCACTTCCTGTCTTCACTTCTATAGGTATGCAACATTGTTTCAACTACAGACAGTCGAAGGGATGAAGTTGTCAAAGCCAGCTAGCCAGTCAGTCAGCCAGCCAGCCAGAATCGGAAAGGCAAAATATGCACGCCTTCATCAACCTGAAACCAATTTCGAAATCTTCTGCGCTCAGCCAGCACAAAGAACAAGATTCAGACTCTGTCCAACACCAATGTGAAGTCGGTCAGTCGCTTCTTCTGAGTGGTTCAGAAACTCTCACTACGTTGCTGCAGACTTTCATGAACAGCTGCCTTCTCTGGCTGGCTGTCTGGCTGTCTGGCTGGCTGGTTCCATACTGAAGGTCAATTGGCCGGTCAGAAAGAATAAGTAACGAGGAACTCTGGCTGGAAACGAGCCAACCAAGAGCCGATCGTTCAACAAATAAGTGGGGGAAAATGGAGATGGATGGGACATACGTTGAAGAGGCCGTCGAATGACATCGTGCTCAATGCAGGTCATCACTCGAGTGGCCCCCAATTGGGAAGCGACGACTGGGTCGTCGTCGAGAGGGTGATATTGAGGAGATGGTGTGAGGAGATGAGAGATTATGGACAACCGTGGTCCAATGTGAAGAGGACAGTAGAAGATAGGAGGAAGTGGAGATGTGTTGTTGAAGCCCTATATCCGTCCTACTCGGAAACCAAGGGAATAATAATATAATAATATGATTCACCTTACCAGTTTGGAGTATTTATTTTACTTATATTATTGCTAATCCTCCTCTGAATTCCGGTAACAACTGAAAGCAGCAAATACGATGGATTGGGTATTTTCCAATTCCCCTAATATTTTTTTGTAGGGATGATGAAGGGCCTGGGAGTGTGCATCCAGCAACCCCACCACACACATATTTCCAACCAACTAGTACTCCATTTTTTCACAGAGGTAGTTACATATTTCTACTATAAAAACATGTTATATCCCATCTTATTGTATTTTATTGATAAAACCTTTATTTCCGAATGTAGCTTACCTTATATTGATTTCATTCAAAGGTCTTGTCAATTTTTACTCAGCTAATTACTTATGTTCTGATAATCTCAGTGCTCCCAATCTACTCATTTGACCCATTTAGTTGGCCTAACTCACAGTCATTGCAAGGTATTTTGTAAAATATATTGTTTTGTTTAATTGGCTCCACAGGGTCTTTTAGCCTACAGAGCTTGTCTCTGAGTGAGTTTTTAGGTTTGAGTGCCACCCTGATTTCTGCTTTATTGAGAATCCTACGTAGGATCTAACATGTCCCCTCTTTAAATGATAAAACTGTATATCCCCTACATTCCATCTTATTAGCTTCATCATTACTTTTATTTTACTGCTGAGCCTTCTTGATCTTCCTAATGAATTTTATAGGATAGTTAGTTATTTACCACCAACGCCTCTTCCGTCTGTTCCATTTCATCGTTTAGGTCCCTTCTTGTGCTACTTAGTGCTAATGCTCGGTTTGTTAGACACTTAACTAGGTCTGCTTTTACAGACAACGGATGAGGTGAATTAAAGTCTAAATATCTACTAGAGTGTGTTGAATTTTCATAGACGCTAGTGGGCAGTTTATCTTCTGTTTTTTTGATTTTACAGTCTTGCATAGCTAATCCTCCTTGTTCATTTTCTGATTCAAATGTAAATTATATTCCCTTCACTAGTGAGTGTTTTATGCGTCAAGAAGCTAGAGATATGTTCTGTTTCTAACACTGTGAAAATTTCATCCACATATCTCCATCATATCTTTGGAGTAGGATTAAATGTATTGGGAGTAATATTTTCCTAACTGTCCATAAAAATATCTGCTACTGTAACGTCAGAAGACAAGGGCCAGGAAACAGATTGTTTATTAAGGAAATCAACACATATTTATAGATTTTCATGGACATTATTATAGATTATTCAAGCAAACAAACACAGTCTTCTGATTGATTGGGAATAATAATGATATATACGTATATATGTATAGAGAGAGAGAGATGCCACAAAATAATAGTGACGTTGCTATCCAACCCAGATCTTCTAGTTCACCGTGCTTTTGTATCAGGTGGTGTTTACCTCCATAGTGTATGCGCAGCAGTTTTTTACTTTATGAACATCGTTATGTTGATAGGTATTAACCACTGATCAGTTCAGCAGGTTGTTAAGACATGTCTAAATATTATGTACTTCGCTTCCTTTCTCTAGTTTCTTGAAGATTTTTATATCAGCATTCAGAAGCAAAAAATTCTTTTGAAACATGACAATCTCAATAATTAAATCCATCTCTCAGGCTGTGGAGTACTTTGGATTTACTTATACCGATTGTTTTGTAGCAGTATAAGAACTGAAATATTTTAAGTCTACACTTCAATACTATTAATACTTCACGGGTACGCTTGTATCTGATTTGACACACTACTCGAGGAGGTGTAAATTTAAGGGACTCAAGCTAGTGACATAGACCTCTATGAAAGAACAAAATACTTATCTGATACATCCTGATTTATTCGATTTCAACTACTAAAAAAGAAGTGTTTACACCAAGTTTTTCAAAGGATTCGTCTGACATTAGACGAATGTTCTTCATGAATTTATCAATATATTCGTACACACAATAAGTGATTCTTCATGAAACTAAACACTACTAACAAAATTGACTAAGACAATATAGTTACAAAAAATTATAGCACCGTAATACTGAATGATAGATCATATGTATGACAGGATCACATTACTTAATATCCAACACTATCAGAGTGAATGTATGCGTGCACGTATGTATACGTGTATTTAAATTAGGTAAAGAAGGATAGAACAAATAGAGGAAAGAAACAACAGTATTATCTGATCACTCTCATGTGCATCAGAAAACCAAAAAGTATGTGTTACCCTAAAAATTATTGGATTAATAAATTAGGATTCACTTTTATTCCGAGTTGGAAAATATTAGTATCATGTGATTCAAAACTGGAAAGTACATTTTCCCTACCACTGAATCTGTTGTTGTTACCACTACTACTACTATAACTGTTATGAAACTTTCTTTTTGTGTCAGTAGAAATTATTGTTCATTCTGTAATATATTTGTGAACAAACAAAGAAAACGATGGAAAATCATCCTACTGACCATAGTGAATTATGATTACCCTTATACATTATGGTGCCATTATAACATCAAAAGACAACACAACAAAATAACTACCTATGGATATATATATACGCTTAATTGACATGCTCGCATCCCATTTCTCGTCATTCTCTGAAGATATAAGTAGCATAGAACAATATCAAATAAGTATCTCTCAACCTATTTAATCAATCTACTGAAAAGAACTACACTTCACCGATTGCACACAAAAAAAGTGATTACCTATTAAACTAATATAAAGAAATATATACCGGTGATACTATGAAACTAGGTAATAACACCCCCCTGAAGGTCTAAGCTTACTAGCTAGGTGCTGATATATACCAATGTTAAAAAGAAATAACTTAAACGCGATTAATAACAGATTACATAGGCATTGATAAATTATTCGACGCATACTCATATCTGTTAATTCAGTATAAAATAAGTGAATTTTTTAGACTGATAATCTCATCAAGCAGTAGATATTTACCAACTGTTCACTAGCTTTAAAAATGGTAGGTTTTTTTTAGAACACATCCTAAAATAAATACCACTACATATATAGTGCAGCATATGTCAGACAGAACATCTTGGCATTACTATTGAAACTCATTCAAGCAGTTGAAGTATTAACCGAAGTCTACACTGGATTGCTCAGTATTAGGATAGCGGAAGATAAGTATAATTCAGATGTGTTACACTTCAGAAGATGGTTTTTTCGCAGTCAGTAGGTCTGACCTGTTTAATACACGAATAGACACTAAGCGAATAATAGTAAAGCTGAATAAAAATCACCACTCAGAAAATTTGAAGATATATTTCTTTGATTGTGACAGAGAAACTGTATTGGCTTCAAGGATTTTTCTCTCTAGATTATATTAATGCAAGTAAATCACTAACATTCTTGTATCCAAATAAGTGAGACAGTTGTTCATTGTTTAGATAGACAGTCTATTGTTTGGTTCTTAAGCGCAATTACGCTAACTTTAGCCGTAATTATTACGGTTACAACCTTAGCCTAATTTTGTAATTCACATATTGTGGTCTCAATCATTTTGTTTTCAAAAGAAATGCAAGTGAAATTTTCGAGTTAATAATCTACACTCTACAAACAATCGATTTTACTCTGTGTAGTGTATGCGACAGTTTAATTTTTAAATTGAATCAGGATGGTAGGTAATATTAACGTTTAGAGGTATTTTCTACCCACTAAAATTAGAGTAGTCTTGATTTTGATCGGTAACATGCAGGGCACAGAATATAGTTTTTCTAACACTGCATCAAATTTAACCAGTGGATGTAAATGAACTTTCATGAAAGTCGTTGGCTGAAAATTTCCAATACACTAAATGCCTGATCGTTTTGTTTATTCCTTTACGTTTCCAGTGGAACATAGAGCTTCAAGCTAGAGGCTTGAAATTTCTGTAGCAGTGGTGATTATTTTTACGGCATGGGATTGCTAGCCTTATGCCCAACCTTCCCTCTTTACCAGTCTTACTACTGGCTTAGCGAGATAAAGGAGTGAGTCTATGGCCGGGGGTTGAACTCCGAACCACATGAGTAGTCGGCGAGCACTATACCGCAAATGTCTGATACTAGATTTTCCAAAAAGCATAGTTAACACTGAATTCAATTATCCCATCTAATAAATAAATGGTGATAGATCCCACAAATATTTTACATCTGAACATCGTTTTAATCACTTAGCATCAACAATAAAGATCTTTAAATTTATTTGTTTATAAATGTATATTATATTATATGACTAAAACAACAAATTAACAGAAGAAATTTGTATGCATAATACAGACAACAAAAGGACAACGAATGTGGGATCAAGGGGAGAAAAACAAAATACAACGATTAGGCTTATTAAGTCGTAATCCTTTCTTTGAAAAAAGAACATATCAAAAGACATAATGAATGAAAACATAAATTGAATAGAATTAGAAATCTCCTGATTTGTATAATAATGAGAATAATGTAACTAAGAGATTCAACGTCAAGGATAAATGGATTGAAAAATGCCACATAGACAACTGTAAAGTAAGCTTAGTAAAAATATTAAATTTAAGGGGGAAGGGGGGGGAGTTAAGCATTCCTCCCCCCTTCATTTCATATTTTTTTTTTAGAAATCTATGTACAATAAAGAAAACAAAGGTTAAAAAGTTAACATGCTTTGTAATTGGAAATGCCATTTATGCATCATCATCATCATCATCATTAAAAAGGATTTTGGAGAAACAAAGAAAGGAAACTGTTAACACTCTAAAAGTGTATAGAGAACAGAATAAAACACTTCTAATTAGGAAAAAAAAGCAACAAAACAACAACATTGCTTCATTATACTGAAATGATGCCGATTAACACTTTTAACGGCACCATCAAAACACATCAAGTGAAATATAATTTTTCTTTAAAAGAATTTTCTTCTCATGAAACATGATGCAGGCACTAGTTCATGTAATTTTGAAACTGCAGAATGTTGGATAGATAGATAGATAGATAGACAGGTAAATTTGTAAGAAAGCTAGGCAGGTAGGAAAAATAATGAGGTCCAATTTGAGAACGGTAAGTAAAAGTTGTATCAGCCATCATTGTTTCTTTTTTTCAGCCTTCAGATCTAATCAAAATATTGTAAAGAATGAAGTATCAAAGAAGAGAATGTCATAAATAAATACATTGTCCTTTCCTAATACCTGATGTTTTATCCCACTTGACTGGATGTTCTATACTCACCAGAAGCATAATTTTAATGCAACGAAAGTAAATAGGCAGACAAATGTCATTATCTCTTTTTTCTTTGTAATATTAAACAACAAAAAGAAGCAAACAGTAAAGAAGATAAACAATATGCACAACAATAAACTGAGATAAGTAAATAAGGCACTTAGCATAAATAAACTGGGGTTTATGAAATACTGTAAACACAGTAAATGTAAACATGCAAAAAGGAGAACAGATGAAAATAAAGCAGTACACACACACACATACATACAAAAATGAAGCACAAACGAGGATTGCTTTATCCAACTAGAGTTGATGTTTTGCTTTCATGACTCTAGCTAAATAATACATACTGATGTGTTGGTTTCGGTAACAATTTAACTGGTTTCCAATGTTACAGGTCCATTCTTAATTACCTTTTTATCGTTTTGTAAATCTATTGTAACAGCAGAAGTATTTTCATCATTAAAATCTTTATCTGTTGGCGATGATATTTTTTCTGTTTCTGGTGTAAAACAATTCGAAATATCACTGTTTGTTTCTTCAGCTATTATTAAAGCTGAATCACTATTACAAGTTGAAGATTTATTCTTGGTGTTTTCGTTAATTTTCTCTTTTGATATTGTCTTGTGTTGTTTATGACATTCATCATCTGATAATGATGCTGATGATGTCGTGGAGGAGGAAGATGATGATGAGGAACAGGAAGACGAAGATAATGTGTCTAAACGATTTGCTGGAGAATTTAGCTTATGATTAATATGAACATGAAGTGTAGGTGGTGATGAGGCAGAATAAGAAATTGGATCTGATAGATTCAGTGAAGAATTGATCATAATCACAGGATTGCTTTTATTTGTATGACTATCATCGGATAATTCCATTCTATTATTATCATTATTAGTACTATTATCATCATCCAATGTATTTTTCACCTGTTCATCTTTATCATTTATATTTGAAAAATGTACTAAATTATCACTGTTAACACTCTTATTGTTATTCGATTGTGTTGATAGTAGTAATACAGTTTTAATATCTTCTTGATTAATTTTCAAATGAGATGAAATCAGTCCAGAGACAAATTCTGTTTCTTTGTCTTTTTCAATTTTAAGCGCACTTAAGTCTGAATACGATTGAGATGTAAATGAAACGGATTTCGGTTTGATAGGAAATGGTTGGACAGAAGAAGAAGAAGAAGAAACATCACTGTCAATAATATTAGAAGTTATTGCAGCAACACTGGAAGAAGTATTCCCACTAGTTGTAGGAGTAGATGTCATAATCTGGCCAACATCTGCTACTGCTGAAGTTGCAGCGGCTACAGCAGCTGCAACAATAGCTGCAGCAGCTGAAGGATCTGTAGACGAATCAGGGGCTAATGGTGGTGTAGGTTTTGGGAGACCACTAGATGTAGAACGTGCACGTTTATTAGCGAACCACTTTTTCACCTGAAATGTAAAAATATAATTGGTTTGGATCAAAAAGATAGTAGTGATAGCTTGTTATTGTTAGGCCATAAATCTGATATTATATACATTAGTGCATAGAAATAGCTCAGAGAAAACTAAATTAAACATCCAATGTTCAACAAATACAGCAGAATCCTCTAATACTACTTTTTGTATACATAGAACCGCTTCCAATTAGTCCAGCATAAAGACAGAAAATTAGAAGTTAAAGACTAAATAAGGATAAGTAGAAAGCTTCTTGAAGTCACCAGTACATAGGAATTTAGCATAGTTACAGTTAACAGTGGAAAAGGTTGCACTAGGGTATAAGATCTTCAAATGTCTTTTGTAATAGATAGGAAGTAATACTTAATTTTTAGGTAAATCAGATGCCTTCAAAAATTACTAAACTGTTCGTTTAGTAATATTTTACAGAACTATCCTTAAATAGATTGTTTTAGATAAACAATCAATTTTCAAAAAAATTATTTACCGAAAATAAAAGAGCTGACACCAGATTTATTTTCATCTTATCTCTCCCATCCGAACGAAAAATCGTATACACAGGCTTTGGCAACCACCCACTCCTTTTTCACCCCTTCATCTATCTCTTTCCTTCTCTTCTTCTCTCTCTCTTTCTTTCTCTCCATCAGTGAGACTATCTCCCTTCGCATACTTGTAAAGTATAGATAGAGTCTGTCTAGCCTTCGATCTAAGTAATGTCAAATGCACAACACACAATGCACACAGTAATTATTAACTGAACCGGTTTCCAGAATGCTACTAAAATTGATATATATTTTTAAATAAAAGACCTCATGACTGTTGAATATGTTAGAGGTATATTGTGTAACATGAAAATAGTATAATTTACAAAAAGCATCTTATCGAACATTTGTATTTTAGTTCATAAACATTTTCTTATAAATGACTACACCTATTTCGTTTTTGTCGACTTTGATCAATTGTAACTGCATACACTATAGTGTTCAGTGAAAGCAAAGTTTAAACGCTAGACTTTATAGTTGTCTTATATAACTGTCATGTTTTTCTTAAGAAGGAATTATAATAATTTATTGTGATTTAGTTGCTTACAGTTCCGCATCTTTTTGAAATAAACCTGACTCTAGTAGATTCCATGTGATTGGGATTTCTGCAGTAATTGTACAATCCACATAACAGTGAAGGGCCTTGTGAGTTTTCAATAAATCCACATAACTGATATGACACCAGATTTATTATACATCGGTGCAAGTTGAAGACTGCTTGCTTTAGATAAGTAGGTACATTAAGATACATGTCTTCAATCTTAATAAAACGAAATTGCTAAAACTTCTTTTTATTAACATGTTTGTAGTAATGTGCCACAAGCACAAAGAATTACTTCAATGCTTTTACATATCAATTGATTCGATTGTATTACAGATAAATAATTAGGGAGTAATGTAGATCAGAATATCAGTGTTTTAAGTGTCTATGGTAGAACTTTATAAGCCAGTGGTACACTTTTTAAGGGGTGTAGCATGACTGTATAAACTGTATAAACGGATGTAACCTATCAAACAGTGTACCTACATGCACACAAAATCAGGATGGCTTGAGTGGATGAGTAGAAACATGCTAGTTGTGTGTGTGTGTGTGTTTGTCACGATAGAATGTGGAGAGAAAGAGGGTTCTAAAATATTGCCCTAATGAATATTTAGTACAGTAGTGAGTAGGCAAATATTAACGATTCACCTCAGAAATATGTAACGAGCTAAACACAATATGACTCTGTTGCACTGGTATCATATCACAATAATAATCATCCTGTGATAAATACATCAGTGGAGTCAGATGAACAGTAACAGTACACAGAGACATTTCCTAGTTCTTATCACTTAGAGCTGAGGACAACCATTTGAGACACTCAACTTTCATCCAATAGGTTGTATGTTCGCATACCTCTTCACCTAGAGAAGTCTACAAAGCCACGAAGCATCACTAGCTATTACATAATAGGTGTGACTAGTGGTTTATAGACTAAACAACTTTCAGAAAGTTGTTAATTTACAGATTAGTTTACGTATGATGGAAGCATCATAGTGATCTGTATTATCTTTTAATTTAACATATGATGACTGAAATAACATGAGAAAGTATCTGAATACCACAGAATATTCTTAAATATTTCCCGAGAAAATAATCTAAAAACAATCTTTCATTACAGTTGTTTTGCTGCTCTCCTTGTGAAAATGTAGTTTCCTTTCTATTCCTCCTGAAAAAAAAATACTCTGATCTTATTCAGGAATTATCATTTTGTCTGTTTTTCTTACATTCCTTATATATATGCACATATACTCGCCTCTTCATTTGTATACAAGAATTGACAGCTACAAGTGTTTCTTTTTTGGTTCATTGATTTTTAAATGCACCTCAAGCCTACAGAATTAGAGAAATTATTGGGCGTAGGCGTAAATGGGCACAAAGAAGATGACCAAATAAGCATCTGACCTATAAAAATAAGCTAGCCCATTGAGGCATGAAAGATAGGAGATTAGTGTGCTGTTTTTGGAGGTTTATATGATGAAAGGCAGTTTAAAATAAATCGATTAAACAACATCTAAGTGTAAGTCTGCTTGGTGTGTGCACTCTAAAAACAGGCATATTAAGAGTAGGGCAAAAGGGATTGAAAATGGTAGAAACTGTGCATTTATGTGTTTTGCACACAATTGTGTTTGTTCATCTAATATTCTTTTGGTTGTGTGCGTAGGTGTGTCCTGATTATTTTAAAGATAAGAAGACGAGCACATGTCATTAACTTAAGCTTAAGGTTATGCCGCACTGAGTACCACTGAACGTTTAACAGACAGTTGGAATACTTTGTGTATGCTTGTATTGCCTCAGAGATCGTCATCCCACTCACTGAAGCGGGTCAGAGACTGAATTCAGTCAGATGTAACGTAAATCAGATGCACACTATGCACATACACACACATACACACAGATATAAACAAATTTAGTGAGTTAAGCACGTCTAGACTTTGGGAATATGGGACAAAAACAAGAAGCACAAATAATGCATCCGTATAGAAACAGAGAATTCACTGAAATATACATGAATCAGCGTAGAAATATAATTTTATTAGACTGGCATCCTGTTGCTAACCTCAAACTACACATAGTCTGTTGGCACAAACAAAACTATCAGAGTGCATATAAAATACCTTTAGATTTTTAGGTTATGATTAAAGTGGTGGGTGAAATTACTCATCGTATGATTTGCTCATCCACATATAGAAATGTAAAATATCTTCCAAGTATCAAAATACTTATGATGAATATCGGCAAACACAGAATATTGTATCTAAGCTGTGAAAAATTACAGACAGATACAATTAAGCGGTGAAATATTCGGGAGGAAAATTCTAGTTAATCTAAGGCACAAATGAATAAGTAAATTTGATTTTTTTTATTTACAGCTTGATTCCACACTGTATTTTTCGGTACAAGTATGGAATTTTCAGCATGGATATCGGTAACCCAAATTTTGCAGGCCGACCATAAATATCAGGTGTGCGTCGGCAGGGGAACGAACCTCGGAGCATGTGCATGGTCGGCGAAAGTCCTAACCACTGAGCCACCGACGCACAGTGTAGATGAAAAGAATAGTTTGAAATCAAGCTAAAAATCTATTGTTTGTTTCCACTAAAATCAACTGATGCTATAAATACCGATTGTTATACAAGTCTATGAATATTAATATAGCTGTGTTGTGTTGCAAATCATTTCCCAGATTGTGACATGGAGGAAGAGGAACTGAAAGCTTGTGGATAGTAGTGGAGCTAGTCAAAAAGAAGCAAGAGAACAGCATACAATGAAGATGTATTACAGAAGCTCTATCTTCTACCCCGAACTCAAGTAACAAATAATAATATGGTTACACACTACATAAACCATTAAAATATTCTTATTCTTATGAAACTTAATACTTTATCCATGAAACATACCTGAGAATAACTCAAACCAGATATATTCGCCAATTCCTTAGTGTCATCAGTAGATGGATAAGGTTTCGCTTGGTGTAGTTGATACCACTCAGTTAGTATACGATTCTGAGTAGGTGTGAAATTTTGACGATGCGGACGTAGTTGGTGCTGATTGTTTGCATCGTTAAATGATGCTAAACCACGTCGACTGTTCGATGAATTTGCACCACTGGTTCTAGTTGAACCCGAAGAACGTTTATTACCAGAAGTCAGTAGTGAATTAGAAGAAATATCGTTTTTATAAATATTTTCAGCACCTGACTGGTCATTTTTGTTTGGAGTTCCTGACTCCCTAGTTGTTTTGTCACCACTTCTGTCGTTTCGATTGGAAAATAAGTGTTGAGCACTGCCTTGAACTGAACATGTTTCATCTTGTTCTGGTTCCCACTCTTCATCTATTTGATCGTCATAGTTTGAACCTGTTTCAAGTTCACTTGTTTGATTTAGGTCACTATCATTAGTTATGCCCCGACTTGTCTCATTTAGTCGTGTTTCATTTTGATCACTGTCTGGCGGATTCGAGTAACTTGTGTTATTAAGACAATTAGATAAATTGGCAGACGTCAGAATGGTAGATGCCGCTGATGATGCATCTGCAACACGCAGTTGAAGACCAGTGCGTGGATCCAAAAGACCAATTACTGGAGCAGTTGGCTCTATATTTTTCCCGCAACCACTAGAAGCTTTGAGGCTAGCCAACGCAATCTGATTTACAGCATTATTAATAGCTCCGGGTTTTTGAATATTTTGAGCAGCAGCAGCTGCTGCTGCGAACAAGGTCTGTTGTGGATCTAGAAGACTTATTGATCCACTAGGTAAACTGGCTGTTCCTAGTAATGTATTACCACACATACTCGTATTAGTACCAACTGTTCCACTATTCACCACAGATAACAGATTAGCTCCTGTTGTGGATGTTGCTAGACTACTTAATAAACGGGCTGCATTCGCCGAACTCAGTGTCACGCCTGATTGTACTGGAGATTTACTTGCTGAAATAAAGTTGATAAGAGCCGGATTGCCCATTACCGTATGTCCTAAATGTCCTGAATTGGTAGATATACTGTTTACATTACCCGAAAGGATTCCCGTTAAAGAGATACCTGAAAAAGAATGAAAAGTGAATGAAAAAACACGTTATGAAATAATAAAAAAATACTCATAATTCACTTTTAAGGAAAAATTATAAAAATACCAGACAAAGGCGAGAATTTACTTTTCGTCTATTAAATTACACAAAAACAAATTACTAGTAACAGTTATAACATTAGTAAAAGTGATATCATTATTGATTCACCAGTGTACCTCACAAGAGTTATGTTTATATGAGTTCTTATTCGTATTTACGAAACACTGGAACACACAACCACTTCATTAGCATCTTAAGTGTATTCATATATGAGGAATCTATTGCAAGAGATAGAGAAAAGAATAGATGTGTTTCCAATATGATAAACCTTATATAGTTCATGAATTTATTCTCCTTTTATCTTCTCTTTCGCCCACCCCATTCCTTTACCCATAATCATGTGTTTATTTTCGCACTACAATTGGGTCATAGCATGAGTGAGTACCCAGTACAATCAGATTATTTATAAATAAAAATGCTAATTTCATCAGAAATTTAGGTGATCGTTGAGTTGGCTTGTTAGGAACACTATAGCATCAGTGCATAATATTATACACAGGAAAGATTTAAGCATCTCACACAAGGAGTGAACTAACAAATGGACCACAATCTATATGATGCAATTAATTCATCTAATCACCACTATATATATAGTAGGGATATTTATATTAACGACTAAACAAATATTTCAGACTGCCGCGCACGGAGTGAAATAGAATATATCACTAGCTACCATTGAAAATAAACATGTGTTCTCAGAATAAAATATACATACATCAGTAATGATAACCAGGTACAATGTTCAAAATGTAAAACTAGGGTTCATAGTCTTCACCACAGATTAGACAATTATTCAGGGTATTATCCATAACTTCCGTAGTTATATCTAGCATTTTGAGAAGTCACAGGCTGAGCAAATGTACTAAAATCCATGTATCTAAACTTTGAAGCCACGATTATTCACTGCATAATGTAACTTTTAGATTTAATTTCAACTTTTATTTATACCCATATAGACTTAAGAACTTTCAGTAAAATGAAGCATTGATAAACAAATTTAAGCTATTCAACTGCTTTTAACTTTAATCTTTACCATAATGAACAATCCACCTTCAAAGGTCTCGGTTATTTGGGAATGTATACCAGTGACAAAAGCAATAGAAAAAAATATGACAATGATTCAAGTTAAAAAACATTGACTGCCTGTTTCTCGAATATTTACACTAGATGTGTGTGTGAGCAGCACTGAAGTTTACTGAAGCTTACAGCAAATACTCTAGCAGTTTCATAGTATTAGGAAGCACATGCTTACAACTCATAGAAATTTGTTCAAAGTTTGATCAAGGATTGATGTCAGTTAGCGAACCATTGAAAACCAGACAGAAATTTAGAGTGTATTTTATGGACTTGACGTCTTACATAGTAATTATTAGGATAGGACAGATGACCACCAAAAAATTAAAAAATTTTTGTCTGATGATGACAAAAAAATACTTCCACGTCATATCATAATACGCTCGTTTAATTTGACATCAACTCAGGGTTTAATTTGTATCTACTCAAAAACGTTATTTATCCGTAATGCTTGTTGTTATTTGAAATGCTTTTTAAAACAAAATCACTTACATTCACCTTGTGGTACAGTAATACCTTTGATATTAGAGCTAACTGCATTCAAATTATTTGAAACTGTTGGATTATATGTTGTGTTGTTCATTAAACTAGAAGCTCCAGTCAAAGTAAAACCACAAACATTTGTTAAGTTATTTAAACCTGAAATTAATGAAGTATTTCCAGTCTCCGAAGCAGATACTGATCCCGATATGTTTAAGTTTGAACCAACAGTAGGAGAATTTATAAATACACTTGTACCTGATGAAGGTACTGAAGTAGTTGTGGGATTTATGAGCTGTTGAAATGAAAGATTTGAAGAATTTAATGATGACATAGTTGTAGTACATGTGGGCATTAAAGAAAAGGATGATGTCGTTGCTGTTGAAGTAAATGGCACAGATATTGAAACAGATGATGTATTAGCTAGTACAGCCATAATTGCTTGCAGTTGAGCTAAACTGACGATATGAGAAGAAGTGGAGGGTGAATTCGCTGTTGTACTGCTTGCAATAGAAGTCTGGAGTGATTTATTCCCAGAATCAGTCAGTTTATTGTCTAGTTCTGAACTCTGAAGACTGTTTACCATACTACAGTTAATTATTGGCTTTTTGTTAGTAGAAGGATTATTATAACATTCATTTTGACAATTTACATTCTGATTTCCTTTATCGTCTGGATTATTTGAACCAATTGGAGTCTCATTTACTGTTGGTAAGCCATATATTGTACTTGCAAGAGCAGATAGACAATGAGCTGGATTAGGGAATAGGCTGGATACTGGAACTTCAATGGACTGTATTAAGCGCTGTTTTAAGCCCCCTTTAAGAGCTGCATTGATTACATCGGCGACATTGTTAACAACGTTCAGGGTTGACTGATCGAGTGTATTTTCCTCTTTACACGATGAAGCATTAACGTCTGTTCCAGATTTTAGTAAATTTGAAGCTCCTATCACTGAATGCTCAGATGACACAGTTGTAGATCGTACCTGCAAAACAGGTGGAAAAAATTAACTTTATTTTAAAAGTAAAAGTGTTCACTGTAAATAAGTGATCCCAAGGGGCGCTGAAATTGTGCAACACAATTCAGTGAGCAACTTTTAAACCTGTTGTCATTAGCTTCCAGAAAACAGGGTACACATGGAGTGAATATTTCTGAGGAACAAAATATAACTAAATATTGAGTAATTTTATAATATTAGTACAGGAAAAATAAAATGTATGAGATACATCTTTCTTAGTGAACTCCAATTATCCCATGCTGCAACTGATGATGCCTAAATACTGAGATACCCTTTCATTGTTACACTCTGCAGTAGACAAATGTTATGGTGAGAAGCAAACTCGGGTGACAATTTGTATGAACATTTTTGATAACCTTTATATTTATGTTTTATTTTCCTCGTATGTTGTGTTTTCACTCGAGTTAATGCTAGCAAACAGTTACAGTTGTCATAATTACTGATTCATTCTTTTTAACTTGACAGAACCACCGGGTTTAAACGTTGCGCAAGGATGGAGACTTGAAACATCAGGAATTACATGCTGAATTTGTTCATCAGAATGTGAGAACTGGATAATTAAATCGCAAAGATTTGAAAGCTTATTCACCTTTCACCATTTCATAAGAACTGAGTATTTTATCATTCTATTCCAACTACTCATATTTCTTTTCACATTTTATCGTATACTTCACCCCTTCTATTTACTTATATTGACTAAATTGGTAAAAATATTACAAGTGACACTGTCACTAGGGCTTGCACTGAATAATTCAGTTCTCCAAACAAAAAATATGATCCGATGACATTTTTTATTGCTACCTGGTTACGATGATCACTAATTTGAAAATAAAAGTGAAAAGAGCAGTCAAATTACCTAGAATTATACCGAGCAATGAGGTTAAATCTGTCATTAGAAGGATCAGTATCTCAAGCAACTAACTAGGACTGATCAGGTTTAAACTTGTTTATTAAGCTCAGCGTACTTGTAGTTGCTAGGATGTTTACATTTTGAGTAAGTGTTTTAGATACCTTCTCATGCATTCAGTGTGAAAGGAGAAACTTACAGTAGATCCTTCTTAAAAACTGCCTAGATATGCTTTGGTCATTATGTTATAAATACAAAAAAAGAGAATCACATTTATATGCGGGTAATTGGCGCCAATGTATTATTAGCGATCAAAACACATTTATACATTAGAGAACACCCCTGAAGTTATAAGACAGAGAGAGAAAGCTATATAATATATGATAGATATGTGCAATCCTCATTTCTAATTGAAGGCTGTCTATAAGTATGAATTAGGTCAACGGAACGTAGTAGTAGTAGTAGTAGGAGTAGTAGAAACAGTGACACTAGAAGTGATCATAATGACATTGAGTGTAAATGCGAGTCCTATGCATAAATACGCAAACACACGCACACTTAAGTAATTGAAATCACTGATCAAAAGTAAGTGCTGAATACTATAAATCACAGTCTGATAGCGTTTAATATTAATCTACGGGTCATATATTTACATACTTCAATATCTTAATTATGAGTAGAATAAATTTTTGTTGCAATCAAACAGATATACACATACCCCTTAGTTTTCAAATTTATCATCAGGCAGTAATAAATAAATAGTGAAATTCACACAAGCTAGACAAAATTGTTTATTACGATCAGATTTCATTGAGTCTCTGTATTTGTGTATGTATGCATGTAGTGATGTCTGATTGTTTACGGAGAGTAAAGTGATTTATAAATAATGTAAATGAATAGAGTAAATTTGTAATCTGACGTTAATAGAACCTCCATGATGTCAACTACAAACATAAATATGATCAGAAACATTTATTGAATCAGTCACTTTAAATTAGTTTCAAGAATTAAGCAAAGTATTATTCCCAACCCATACAATCATAATCAAAAGAAAAGTGTCTGAAAAGTATTCAAATGATGAGATGAAATTTTTTAAAAAGATGAGTTACTGGTACCACATATAATGGTCAAGGTCTTTCCTTTTACTCTCTTTTTTCTATTCCTGTTGTTTTACATTTACTGTTTTCTTTTACTTTTGACCTGAGTATATTTTATTCTAGCAGAGTGACGAAAGGATAAAAAGCATGGAGTACAGACCAAGAATACTAAAATTAAGAAGAATTGTATATTTCTAGGTACAGGTTGAAACAAAATGTCTCGTATTTACTCATTTCTCACGAATAAGCCTTTTTCAGCTACATCAAAAGTCCTTAATGCTGACATGATTGGATTTCGGCAAGAACATCAGTGTAAAAGTTTGATGACTTCAGCGGATTTTTGATGGATGGCGTAAGATGAAAATATGCTTCGGTAGAGTGCCTAGAACTATAACAATATGGCCACAATGTAAATAATTATAGCTGAAGTTATTTCCTGTAACTGTCACATACGTTGAACCAACTTAAATAACAGATATTTTTGAAAAAGCAACTTAAATTCCTATTTACAACTTGAAATCATAGTAAAAAGTATCTTCAGAAATTTTGTGACATAATTGATTTATTAAGGATGTACAAAGTAAAACAGAATCCATGGTATAAAACGAACTCGTATTATCCTGCAAGTTTGTTCGTTCTTTCTCTATCCAAACTCGAAATTGACAGATATTATTTGATATTCAAGTGTTGGTTTGTAGGGATTTGATTGGTTACAGGATTTTCATCATGAGCTGACATTGGTTAGAGAACCATTGGAAAGCCTGCGAGTACTGGTAGACAGCTATTTCGTCCTAGTTTGGGACTATTCATCAATACACACCCACACCACGGGGGTCGAAACCAGCACCTTCTGGTTACAAGGAGAGCTCGTAGACCGTTGAGCCACTGGGACCCAATCCAATAGCCCATGAATTCTAACTTCTGCCAACTGACGATACAGTGTGACCGATAGCCAATGTCTTCGGCGAGTATTTGTCGTCACACCAGACCTGCTGCGCCCTACTGTTTACGACTTCTCACTAGAACCCCAGGTAACTACCTACCTGAATAGGACAAATCGCTAGTGAGCATCTCATTGATATTCAACATATTATTTGTTATAATCAGACCTTGCTATCTATTTTTATGAACAAGATAATGCGAGCAAAGATAGTCGTGTGTAACGTATGACTCTCCTACAATTTATGTCAATTTTCTATCAATTCAAATGCTGTCAAATGTAGAAACTTACGTCAAAGTAAGATAAAGTTAAAAGAAAAATAAGATTAGCTATACTGACACATTTTACCAGTTTAGTATTTATTTAACTACTTCCTGGCTGGGATCTAAATCACATCCGAAACTAACAATTGGAAAATCAAGGCTCAGAACCAGTCACAGAAGAATATATACATCGATACCTACTATCCATTTTAACTGATATATATGGATGATAACATGATTTCACTCACAGAATCCTAAACTCATGGATTGATTCAAACTAGATGAAAACGCTACCAGTAAGGTAGTTCTTTTCGTTGTATCTAGATATGCACTATGTTATGGTTAATAAACTCGGGGTTAGTGAAACACAAGCTGAGTTATAAAGGGGCAATATATGAGATCGGTAGTTAAAAATATTACTACCTAGAACCAAACTGACCAGTCTGAACAATTCAGGTATAATCATTTGCAACAGAAACAAAACAATTTTTAATCGATACTCTTTTCACTTGTTTTGTGTTTTTAAACTATGAACAACTGAGAGTGAAGAACAGATTTATCCTACTTGCATACACTGTAGTTTTAGGGACAGGCATAGTAACTTATAGCAAAAGGAGAGAAAGTACCTTAGTTCATATAAAGGTAGAAAAACAGAGAAGGGGAAAGAAGGCACAAAATGGAAAGGAAATAGTCAGAGTTAAGCATTCCTCAATAATAAAGTGTTAAGACAAACATACGCTTTCGGTCTCATTCGATTGGACTCTTTCTTCTGACATGAACAGGCTGTAAAAAGCAGCAAAGGCATAAAATAAAACTTGCATGTGACCTAAAAATATGAGATTATCAATCAATGTGAACAGCACTAACATAAAAATAATTTTTCTGTTAGTGCACAAATACAAAGTATGGGATAGCAAAGTTAGCGAATTTAAGCAAAGGAAATTAACTCGCCCTTCGTAAAATGAATAAAAAGTTCACTCAGGTTAAAATGTGAGGGGATGTAAGAAAAACACTTGATGCACACAAAACCACGTATGTGTGTTTGTGCACATACATACGAATAAATAAACACACTTGTATGTCCTTAAACAAAAGACTGAAAACATAGTCACATTAAAGACGAGTAGTGTGCTAATGATGGGTAGCATGCACCCACTGCCTGCCTGTTTATCTCTTATTCAAGGCAGAACAGTTGTTAAAGAGATGTACATTTTCCTCTGTTTCAAATAAGAGGAAACAAAATGGGCTCAATACTACTGAAGATAAACTAGGTTGAATTACGCAGTACAGACATATGAAATAACCAGTGTTCAGACTGCATTGTTGATTTTATCTCACTGATAAATGGTCTAGGTGAAAAACAATATTAGGTAACAGTATTTGAGGTCGGTAATTAACCGAAATACTGTAGTGTAGTTCATACTGATATGCTTTGGTTTTAGGAAAACTCTGGCCACGTATTTAATGTTGTTTTAAGCATACCATAGATAGACTCATTTACCTATTCAACCGTTTATGCCCTAACAGTAGACTTTCAACTTTATAAATCCACTTAGATGCTCGTTTGTAATAACTAACTGATTGATTCATCCCACTGCTACAGAAGTAAAAGTGCAATGGAAATTTGGGATGGACTGTTAGTTAACAATCTAAAACACTTTCATTCAGGCATGTCAAACAAATACACAGATTTAGACTTGAAATAATCTACCTAAGATTTCTGTAAAGACACCGGAGGACACACCTGTTAACCTGTTTATCTTATCACACTGTTACTGTTGCTGACAAAGTAAGCATATTATCACGTTTGAAGACAGTCACCATTAATGAGGATGCCCCGTGCTGTCAAAGCTGATTAGTATATCTACCTGCTTCAGAAGTGAACTGCATTATGAATGAACACAAACCATGGAACAACCGGCAGCATTTCGTTCCCGATAGGGGGGTCTTTAGAAGTGTGACCTTATGGTCGTCTTGTAGGAAGCCAGGTTGAGGCTCATTTAATTATACTATTAAATATGAAATGGCGCAACTTTCACCTGGTGTAATTAGTAAGCACGTGTTGTTACACAACTTCTTTAGTAGTCAGTTGCTTACGTCAAAGCCTCGTAACTACTAAATCCAGCTGTTTAATAATATCTCATCAACATGTAGTTGCAGAGTAGACATTTGCATTGATTCCAAATTTTCTGAGCTCATCGATAATTTACTTCAGATGTAATCTAGAAACGAACTTTAACAAAATATAAAATAAGTGGTTTTGTGCATAAATATACCCTCATATACTAATCTAAGTCATCCCGAGGTCTAAGTTGTTCTATCGCTTTAATATTGTTATCACACAAAAGCTGGTAGGCTTCATAACAAACTCCACACCTAAGGCATGAATATATGAACACTGAAAATCCACCTTAGGTAATATTATAGCTTATTCATGCATTTAGCTCTTCACTATATGTAAATAAACATCGCATTACAGCTCTGCAATACCAACAGATTTTGTGAAACACAGTTCTAGACAACGGTATACGTAAAATTTTCTAGCCACTTCATACATGGAATTCACTCATTTGACAGTGATTTGCATACAATCTCAGTTAATACCTAATTGGACGTAGTTTAGGTAGATAACCTCCAATGACTTAACATAGAGTTAACTTATCAAGACTAGTTTTCTACTAACAAATTACTTCCTACATGAAATATGACAGACAAACAATTTTTAGCACTTTCCTAAAACTGTTGTGTTTGTACATCAAAATGCGAAAAATAGAAATTCATAGTTAAAACGTAAGCAGCAGCAGCAGTGAAATGCGTATCATGTGTTAACATTTAAAATGTCAAATTCTGAGGGTCAAAGGATGCATATACATATCTCTGATGCCAGATTATGGTGGTGGTAGTAGTAGTAGTGATGATGATGACGACGACGATGATACTAAACAGTACATGGAAAAAGGGGGAAATCAGTAGAAAAGGTGGGAGGAGTAAGGGAAGAAAATAGCATAACTATACGACACAACACATATAGAGTGTTAACGATAAACAGACACGTAATTCATTAAGGAGATGAACTCGATAGACAGTAATATGGACTAGTTTTTTTCTTTCGCTAGAATCTACAATTCTTATGCAATCTACAATCTTATTTCAGAACTATGTGCATTTTATTGGTGTTTTTTGTATGTTGAGGAGAAAAGAAGTCCCATATTAAAATAAAATACTCATGATTACATTAGGAAAATGCAGCTGTGTTCATCAGAACAGATAATTAATGAACACTAAAATCTTGTTATTTCAGTTAGTGAATTCATAAAGCTTGACGTTTACCATTAACTCAAAATATTATCATTGCATAAATATATTTGGTTTTATTCGTACACAACTTACTTACCAAACCATGAAAAATGGGAAAAGAAAAAAAGTGGTACATAATTTAATTGTAACGTTAACATTTTTTGAATTAGTTTAGAGTTTGATGCAAATACAAAAATCATATGCCTACAGATGTATTTACACTAGTGGTAAAAGCGAGAGTTTTTCGCTAAAATTACTGAATACAAAGTGGAAATGAATTTTGAGTATTTGATTAGATTCTATAATGATTAGATTAGTGTAACTGCATGTAGGAGAATCAGGCTCAGTATCCATTATTGCATCCAAAAACCTAATTAGTAATGTCAATATTATCCTAAGCAGATGGTACCAGTTATCATAGTGAGAAATTCTTAGTTGAGTACTACTAGCACACAATTTTGTTTTGCTAACAACTTTGAACCGGTATGAGTAAACAATGGTTATTAATTTTATTCCTTGACATTTCCAGTGGGCTTCAGGCTATAGCTCTGAAGTTTCATTAGTAGTGGTGTTTCTTCTTATCGGATGGGGTTTGCTGGCCTCACACCCAACCTTCCCTCTCTACAGGCTTAGCACGGTTGCGTGTATCGGCCGGTGATCGAACCCCGGACCACATGCATGGTTGGTGACCATTCTAGTGCTTGAACCACCGAGGCAAAGTAAGCATGAGTTATCAGGTAACTCGGAAATTTAATGAAATGTAACCAATTCAGATGAATAGTGTGGTTAACACTAATGCTAGTAGCCAAGTACTGATTAAATAACATATTGTTGTCAGCATTTGGCGAAAAAGATTGATAGCAAGCTTTTGTAAACTGTAGTACTCAAAACTTACATGCGAATTCAATAGTGATTAAAACAGATTAACGTTTACTTTGTGTCTGAGAATACATTATATTTTTTCGGAATCATCAAACACTAAAAGGTTAGTATACACCACGCTAATATTCTCAAATACGTCAAACAATGAGCTGCATTGCGAATATTGTTTCGCATGTATTTAAGATACACTGTTAAACGGGTAACATGCCAGAAATGAACTAGTAATGACTTCAAAAAAACAAACCTATCTGAGACATATAAAATGATTTACTTACAGACATATCCAGAGCTTGATCACTTGATGTAAAACTGACATCCCCGTTAGTTTCAATATTATTGATAGGTGTTGATCCAGAAACTGAAGTACTTCCATCTGAACATCTTCCATCAAATTTAGTATGTACTGGTGCAGGTGAAACTAATGCAGTGAAATTCGACATATTTGTTACATCAGATGAAGAGTTCGGACAGAAAGACAAAGTATCAACGAGATTATTATCAGTTGATGTAGCACTGCTTGTTCTAATAGGCATATGTGTACCTATTGTTTGTGAAACCACCTGTGGATTATTTGCTGCAGTCAGATGAGCTACTAAAGCTGCAAGGCTGTCTGAAGTAGATAAATTTGATGGGTGAATCTGTGAAGCAGGCTGTGAGCGTCCAGAGTTATCAGGAGCATTAACTGTGTTATTCACTTGCATTGACAAATTTGTAGAATATGTTGATGTGGGTACATTAATAGATGAAATAAGGCTTCCATTAGCAGCCATATACTTCAAAGCTTCAATTATATCGGGGTAACGCAAAATTCCAGTGCAATTTGAAGAGGCGATAGAAGCGACTGAATTGTCTGATGATTGTGGGACTTTTATGGCTGACGTTGCAGGTGAGTCGCCGAGCGCTGGTACAGGTACGAATAAAGTGGGCTGTAATGTATTTAGTGCAGTTTGTTGAGTCAAGTTGCATGATAAATTACTCGATGGATTGGTTAATAACCATGCTGAAGGGGCATTATGGGCAGTGGATGGTTCATTATGGTGTTCTGTATTTATTGTTGTTATATTATTGGTAGAATTTTTAATTGGATTATGCACAAGCGCTGTTGACAAACTACAAATAACATTTTCAGGTAAACTAGAAAGGGGAATAAGTTGCCCAAGAAAAGGACTTGCGACTGAATTTAGACCGTTTACATTTGCAGAACTGAATGTTACTACGGGCATTTGCTTGCTATCGGTAATTGAGTTTCCGATCGATAAGCAGAGTGGTGTAACTTTTGAAACAGCAACACTTTTCGCAGTATTAGCATCAGTTACTTTATTGTCGGAATCTCTGCATAGTCTTTTAGATTTTGGTGGGGTAATACCGTCTTTTATTTGACCATCAACTTCATCCAAACCAGATAAAGTACGTTTACCAGAAGGTGACGTATCATAAAGTGAACTTTCTACCTTAACAGAGCTAATCATTGGCTGGTTGGTTTCGCGAGAGCTCATATCTGTGTCTTCAGATGATGAACCTTCATTTGAGGTCTTTGATACCGATAAACAGATGCGTCCCTAAAATAAAATTAAAAAATAGAAAATTAAAGGAATTATACTTAGCCTTCAATGAAATAGGCTCATATTAACAGTAAATTGTTGATATTTTAAAAAATTCTGTGAATATTTTTATACTTTGTATGCATGTGTACATTAAGTTCGTCAAACAAAAATGCAATTGATTATGGTTATTTTAACTAAACAGGTGAAAATGAGTAAGTCTTGGGTAGAGTTATGTAATACAAAAACGGTCAAGAAAATTGGGTGTTAATGAAACTAGTGTATCAACAAAGGTGATGAGCTGTCACAAAAAAAAGAGTTACGTGATAATATGAATAGTTTGATGACTGAGCTGTACTTAGGGATACAAATAGGAACAAAGTAGAGAATACGAAGTTATGTAAGAGTTCTAAATAAATACAAGAATTATAAGCAATTAAAGAAACAGTCAAACAAACAAAATTAAGTCATCAAAAATCAGCAAACTTGTTACCATGATAATAGAAATGGTTGAGTAATTCTCTTTTGTATGCACAACTCCTGTTTTTCTATATGGATAGCCAGAGCTTCAGTGATATAAAGAGGACGAAACTATATTGCCTCTGGTAAGTTATTCTTGACTCTATAGATTACTTTGAAGGAGGCGTTTGTTGAGATGGAACGATCAGCGTTAACCAGGTCTTCAATTCATTCAGAGATGTGAGACTGTGGAATAACTGATTGAAAGCAGTATTCAGGCTAAACATATTCTGATTTCATTAAATACCCAGTAACTCTGTAAAATGTAGGTATGAAATGCATTAATTCGGAAGTAATGAAATATCTCCCAACAAATTCACATAAATTCTCCGTTGATACCTTATATTGTTAGGTTCAACGTCTGGTTACAAATGAATGAATCATCACAAATGAAATTTGTTCGTTGCATTAGTTTTCTTGGTTAGTTATCACCCCCTTATCACGTCGATATTGACTTATTATTGTTAGAAAACTTATTATCATTAGATTCCTGAATGAATCTTATATTTTTTAAATAAAATCGTTTGATTAGTTGCAAAGAAATTGTTTCACAGCATAGTACTATCGGATATATTGGTAAGTTCCCTATTATAGCTACTGTTCATATGATTTAATAACCAAACAAAGAGAAATCTCGCTTTCAAACAGTTTTGGAGAAGTAGTTGGACGGACAATAATTCTCATAATGTATTAACACTTAATTAAAGATCATGTATGATCACTTCGTACTACTGATACTCATAGACATGCGATTCCTTAATCTATGATTCATAATGTGTTTACTCCCTCATTATGTAACAACTTGAACTAATTTACTTCTAAAATTGTGTACTGTTCTGAATGCATTGAGACTGCTCATGCTAAGCCACCAATTTTAAGGACTTATAACTTATATAAAGTTAAGTTCACTTAAACTGTTATAAAACACATCAGGCTTTAGTCTTCAACTAGCTAACCGCAAAGATAATGTGGTTCTTTTATAACTTTAAGAAACACAACTTGTTCTACTAAATGTAGAGCGTAGCAGACCTTAATGTTTATGATACGGGATATGATAAATTTGACTCAAGGAAGGGGATATCGAGAGAATTATGCTGCCAATGTAATGATTAATACCATTCATAAATGAAGTGAACCTCGCAGTTCGGTAACCAAGTGAGAAACGATCTGGTGTTTGGAATATGCATAAACTGCAACAAGAATATCCATATTAGCAATGAGTCCCAAGTAGAATTTCACTAACCCATACCACTATGCAAAAAAGCAATAAGATTTCTTACCTCCAATACTATAATAAACTATAGACTCAAGCTACTCATTACTATTGGCTACTTTTTATTATTAGTTATTTGTATTTATTTTTCAATATATGCGCATTAACGCTCAACTCATACGAACAATTAAAACTATTGGTTTATACAAAGTAATGTTTTAAAAAGGGAAGGAAAAAATAGTAAAGCGAGTGAAAACAAGCTGAGTAAGAGCAAAAAAGTAGAGTTAATAAAATTTAATCCAATCAAATCACTTGATAATATTTCATCACTTTTGAGAATACCAATCTGAATATATTGATTTTATGTATCTCTTAAACAAGTATGCAAATTACCTTATGTGCTATTCAGTTACTCACTGAAAACATTAGGTTATACAAAAAATATATATTGATTATGTGAGCATATATACATTAGTGTCCATAGAAAAACACAGGAAGTATATAAATATATATATATATATATATATAATAAGCAAGTTATGAATCAGCTTTTAATTCTGAGATAAATATTAAGTGAATTCTGGAAAATGTCATTGCCCACATTATGGAATAACCTAAGGGGCTTGGAAACAAATAATCCTCAGTCTTGATGAACATGTAGATGAAGCACCTACTTGCAACACATTTAGAAAACTGTGTGCTCTTTAAAATGGTGTCCACAAAGTAAGCACGAAACAAAGACTAATCAGATGTATATTTTGATTTCAGCCACCATTTTTACCAGTTACAGAAAACATCTGATTCATACCTGGATGCTGAAGAAAAAGTGGCATATTGTTCTAGTATATTTAAGTGGAATGGAGGATTTGCGGATTATAATATGATACAACTAACATCTACTGAAATTTGTTAGTGCATAAATATTTTTGGAGGGACTTTACCTAATGTATGTGTGAACTTGTGTACAGTCACCGGATTACTGCTTTTCATAGTTTAATAAGCATCATATCGTTCAATACTCATAAAGGCAAATGAAATCAAATGAAAATAAGATACTAACAATTGTATTAAATATTCAAGAATTGGTTTGTAGGGATTCTAATTGTTTCAGGTTAGACCACGGATTGATATCAGTTAGAGAACTATTGAAAAACCGGGAGTATTGGACAGTTGTTTCATCCCAGTTTGGGACTCATTGGCCATTGCATTGGGTCCCAGTGACTAAATGGTATACTAGACTGCTTTGTAACCGGAAGGCACTGGGTTCGAAATTCAGTGGGTGCGCACTGCCGCATTAAATATAACATAATAGCAATGAAAGCATTGAAGACTATCTTAGGTGGAAGAAAACAGTATTAGAGATGATACAGTGAAATTTGTGCTTTTATTGGTTCGAAAGCAACTACAATATTTAGGCGTTTGTATTAACTTCACATCCATAACAAGACCTGTAAGGTTTTATCATTGCATTTAGCTATAGCTGTCTTGTAAGCTGATGTGTAATGTACGAATTTGTTAGATTACAGAAACATTTTGTGAGAATACATATTTTTATTACTATGATGAGTATTATAAGTGAAATTAGAACTGATAACATCGTATATTTGATGTCAATATCAGTGAAAACAAGTAAGGTAAATTAAAAATCTAGGGAACAATTAAATGCATATTCAGGGGATGAAATCATTTTCACATAGGTAAATGAACCTGCATACAAATCCATTCAAATTTAGCAAAGCCTGTGACCTTTGTGCATAAAATATACAATTTATGACTAGCACAGAGATTAAGTGTAGAGTCCCGCTGACTCATTAACTATCATTCATCTTTGTGTAAGTAGAATTAATGGATTTCAGAATTATAACATGCACAGCACTATCAATCTTACTGAGAAAATATATAGACAAAAATAGGTTTTAGAAGGAAATGGGGTGAGAGCATTTGAACCATTTTCCTGTCAAGTTATAGCTCAGACAATGAAAAAATTCCTCCCCACTCCTCTACACATGAGGGGGGTAGAAAATCACTTCCCTGGTCAGAGTGACTAAGTTACTTAGATTCAGTAGGTCATTTAAGGAAAAATGCTTTGTTAGACTCAGAAGGCAGACTCAAGGCTGATTGTGTTCTACTTTGTTAGTCCTTTCAGAAACGGATGATCTATAGGAATAAGTAAGAATGGTCGAATTATGATGTGCGGAAATGAGAGGAATGAAAGTGTATAGAGAAAACAGACAGAAAGAACATATCATATGTATTCATTTACTGTGCAGACTGTAAAGGCGGCTTACTTAGCACACACTGAGAACTGAGGAAAATGAACTGAAAAGCTAGCAGTCATAAACAGATTGATGAAGGTAAAGTAATACAAAGGAAGTAAAATTAAAAAAACAAACACAACAACTGTTGATTGCTTTGACAGCTTAAACTTCTTAAAATTGTCTAAACAGTATGATCAGTCGTGTGAATTCAGTAGGCATTATCCTTTACTTATGCATTCACTAGGTATATATGACAAACAAAATCAACTGGAAAGGTTGACAAATCAGACATTCAGACGTGTGATTAATTACAACGTAAATCTCGTCGCAAAGCGATATCACCTTTCAATGATCCCATGAAGGATACTTTTTTTTATTTCCTTCACGTTCCCCAGTGGAACATAGAGCCTCAAGCTAGTGGCTTGAAGTTTCTGTAGCAGTGTTTAATTTTACAGGATGCGGTTGCTAGCTTCATGTCCAACCTTTCCTCTTTACCAGTATTATTCCTGGATTAACGAGGTAAAGGAGTGAGTCGGCCGGTGATCGAACCCCGGACCACGTGCATGGTCGGCGAGCGTCCAAACTGCTGTGCCACCAACGCACATGACAGATAATAGTTTATCATAAAATCTAAATAGAATTCAGATATTAATGATAATTACAGAATCAGGTGTAGGAGTAGTTTTCTGGATACTATATGATCTTTTTTACTGTCCATTGTGTTACTTTTAATCAGTAAACGTCAAAGGATTACCATGAGAGCAAACTCTTGAATATCACAGTAGTAAAATATGTGTGTTAACAATATCATCAATCCTAGTGGTACAAAGCGGGTAAACAATTATTAATCCTTGAAACCCTGTCATTACTTTCCACTCTCATCCTGAATTAAAAATCATCATAACAATAAGATATAATAAATTTTAAAAAAGTAGATCATAATGATAGCATAATTCTACATTCAGCGCTAAACATGGTGTGCAGAAGAAAAATGGGAGCTTTTCAGCGAAACTATCGTGTTAATGAAA